AGAGAGAGAGAGAGAGAGAGAGAGAGAGAGAGAGAGAGAGAGAGAGTACCAAACTCGTCTCCTCGGATTATTATCGGCCAATTCGAAATTGATTTGTCCTCTCATGCACCGGTTTAAAGTCCCTTCACGTATTACGCCGACGAGACGTAGAGATGAACCGAGGTCACGACTGGTGTCGCGATATCGAGCGTTATCGGACGTGACACCGCTCGTCACGTCAATAAGTGTACACTCATCCCTCGACGCGTTCTGTTTGCTTTTTGCGCGTGATTCGACTCCACGAGACGAATAGCAGAAAAGCTTCACGTGAATCTCGTGAACTGGAAAAGTAAAACGAGAGTAGAATGGTTTCTGCGAGCGTTAATCAAAATTGAAAGGCTGAAAGCCGTCCGGGGAGGTCTCCTTGTTCTTTACAGAGACGAAATCTACAAACAGATCGTTTGTGTTGCAGTCAATGTCACGGCCTAGAAAAGAACAGAGGATCAATTAAATCTCGACGTGAAGTCAATGGTGTGTCTGGCGTGAATGGAATCAGTTGATCGCGGGACGGAAAATCGAGAATATCGAGACTGGAAAGCCGAGGGGGAACGGCTCGAATGTCACGCGAATAAACACGGAGAGGAACCTCGGAAAGAATCCCTGTGCGAGGCCAGCCGGGCGAAGAAGAGCGACCATTTTTCGGCCATGTCAAGTCGACCGAACGACGAAAATAAATTCGTGCGCGAAGAAGCGAGCTCCGGTTGCACCGGTGATGGTCTAGGTTAGATAAACCCGGCTCTCTTCGTTGTCCTTCGCAGCAGGTGACCTGCCTGGCTTGTACGGCAGACGAACGGAGAATCTCATGAACAATAAACGACGACAATAGGCAACCCGCCTCGATATCCCTTCGTAACGCCGCGCCAGGTTTTCGTGAAACTACGTGATTCGTAGCACCTGGCGGCGATACCTGTCTGAGGAATGCGTCAGGTATCGCCGGGATTTCCTTTCCTGCCCCGCATGCGCTCGTAGAATATAATCGTGCCGAAAACTGATTGTTCTGAGAGAAGTCTGTCGTGAAAATCAAAGCGATCGCGAGATCGCTTGTCCAGAACCGCATTGTCTGGTTCGACGTTATCGCCAATCGTTCAAAGACCGCTTAACGAGAGTAGAATTAGGAAAATCAACAACCGGCCACGGTCTGACGTTGAAGTGCAGCGGGGCATGCTGTACGCGAGCGCAGCCGGGCGAAACGTCACGGATAACGAGAAGAAGTGAAAAAAACAAAGGAAAAAAAAAAAGAGAGAAAGAAAGAGAGACGTTGTGTATGTTACCGCACCTGTGAGGAGATTCATGTTCTTCAGGCTGGCGGTGTCCTCCTCCTCGAAGCGCGCGAGGGGTGCCTCGAACTTCAACTCGGCGATCTTGCCTGCCATGTCCCTCATTATTGAGCGTGAGGGAGTACCGGGCGCGGCGGGACAATTCGCGGCGTAGCTCCCGCGATCGCGTCGCGCTTCCGAGGCCGCCGCCGCGACGTCGCGCCTCTCTCTCTCCTTATCCGACGAGATCTCGCGAACGGCCTAGGTGACGACGAGTCGGCCGAAACATGAAGGAGCGACCCACGCACGCACGCACACCGCCCGGGACGCCGCGCGATAACCTCTGTCAACACACGCGAGCGAGCCGACTGACGCTGACGCGGAGGGGGTTACTCCTCTTCGCTGTTCCACGGTGGCCGTGGTGGTGGTGGTGGAGCGGAGCGCGGCGTCGCAAGCGACGGTGGTGGTGGCGGTAGCGTTGGTGGTGGTGGCGGCGGTGGCGGTGGAGTCATGGTGGGCAGCCGTGGCGATGGCAGAGGTGGAAGATGATCGCTCGTCACCATGGCAACCGCTGGCTGTGTGAGCGCGCTGATGTCACGAATCATCTCTCCTCAGGAGCGGCTCTGTCGCGCTCAGGACGTTATCAATTTATTTCACCTTCTGCTTTAAGCTCTAACGCGATTGTTCACTTTGCCTAAGTAAATTTGCTTTGCCGCATCAGCTGTTTGCGGATAAGATTATGGCATCGGGAATTCTCTCTCGGGCGACCGCCTGTCTCCAGGAGGCGCACGAACGTGCGCGTCGTCGTATCTCCCTTCGTTGAAACGATATCTACGGAATTTCCTCAGATAAGCTTCTGTTACATTCTGTTACGCTCTGTTTTCGTATTGTGTGCGTCGAGCGTGGCTCGTTGGAACGTCAGTTTCACGCGACAGATCGCTCCGATTGCGTATTTTATCGTTGCAGTAAAATAACAGAAAAAATGGTTGATTTATCGCGAGTCAAGTTTATTTATTTACCGATGTCGATCAGTGAGGAAGTCTGTCGGCCAGCGCAAAGTCATAGCTCCTCGAAAACAGCTTTTTCTCAAGCATCTTGCTATTTAGCAGATGACCTTCGTCAAGAGACCAACAACTTGCTCCAGAACTGGTGTTGATGTAATCGTATCTTGTAATTGTACGATATTGCGACAAGCTTTGTCGCTCTTCGGGTAAAATGCATTCTTGCTAACGAGGTGAGGTGTCGCTGTGAGTGAAAGATGAAAGATGCCGTATATTGATGGTGCAAACAGGAGGTACCATGGACGTAAGAATACATGGAAGGAGCGAATTGTCGCGGGGGTGAAGCCCAAGGGATGAGGGAAATGATTGTATATATTGTAATAGAGTGATATACCAAGATGGCGACGGTCACTGTTTTTATACAGTGAAGATAGATACAAAACTCCTATACCAACATGGCCGCGACGATGTACCTTCCTGCCCCTTAGACTTCACAGCCCCTCGTCTGTAATCGCACTTTTCGCCCGTCCATGTATTCTTACGTCCATGGGAGGTACACTGATGTTCATTAATAGAGTCTTTTTCGGTGTAGAATAGTGTAGATGAACGTACTATCTCAGGTGCGTTCATCTACACTTGTCTACACTCAAAGGACTCAATTAATGAACACTAGTGTACATATCGGCAATGTTGACATAAAATAAAGTTTTAAAGCAAAATATAGATTTAGTTTATCCATTGTTACGTCAATTATAATTGATAACAAGAGAATATAAAGCAAGAAAGAAAACTGATTAGATGAAAAATAAAATCAGATAATAGATGTCAGGTTTATTCGCAAAGTATCGATTCGATAGTACAAGTCATACAGCAACAATCGATAAAGTCGTTAGTGATTGTTATCGATAGTTAGTATAACGCACGGAAATTTTTTCTGCATTTTCACGTGTTGTATACGTTGCGTGCGATATCAAATATTTTTGTTGGTAAAACAGCGATATCGTTCATCATATCGCTCATTTGCTACAATAATGACATAACTAAAAAATTACGCTTTTTCAAAAAACTGTATCAATAAAAAATATAAACGGAAACCGTTCTTTTTATAGTAATGACTAAAAAATGTTAAAATTTTGATTTATGTCATTTTAGAAAATAAGCGAAATGTCAAAATGTAACGCGAATAATATGATTTGTAAATTGCAACTTGCGATTCTGTTAAATGAAAAATGTATTATGTATTTTTCAGCTTAAATAAATCGTACATACTTAAAACAATATCGACGATTAAAATAATTTCTCCATAATATCGAAATAATTTCTGTGAATACTGATGTGATATACAGAAACGATACATATAAAATTCTCATGTGTGTGTAAATTAAGCCAAAGTGAAAAGAAAAAATTCCTTTAGTATTTTGCAAAAATATATAGACTTTTGAGTTATTAATTAAAATAGATTGGCTTAATAATCATGCACAATTGTTTTGTCAATCTTCTATGGCACTTTATTTGACAGACCCAGAAAAACTTAAGGATAAAAATTTCAGTGTTTAAACGAGTTAAATGATGTCTTTTCAATATTGTTTTCAAAATATCACTCTTTCAAAACATACAACGATTTTTGTTATCCAGTGGCAAAAATCGAAACTACTGAAATAGTGACGAATAAAATCATTAGCCAGATGTTGTTCTATACCAACAGTTCCAAATAAATACACAACTGCATCTATCGTTTTCGCATGTAGTTCATGAAAAATCGATGTTGCTCGAGAGCAACATTAAAGGGTTAAATCAAAAATAAAAATAAAAGAGGACTAATAGGAGTTCAGGCACAGAAGTTTTAGTGCTATAAAAGGATATAGGTGAAAGTTCCCTATGTTGGGAAACCAAGTAATTTATTGAACATTAAAAGTATAAAACATCAAACATTTCGGTCCATCCGTAGACTCTCTTCAGTAACATGTAATTTTAAACAATAAGATATCAAGAATTTTACAAGATTTCAAAATTCGCAACCGAGACTGGGAGGAAACAATTGTAAGGCCTGGTTGCACCAACATTATTTTGGCTTTAAGCGAAACTTAAATATATATCTATCTTTATCTTTCTTTCTAAATAAATAAAGACAGACACATATTTAAGTCTCGCTTAAAATCAAAATAACGTTGATGCAACCAGGCCTAAGACATACAATTTAGGAAACAACGTTAAATCCTGTCTGTGTCGAAACATACCTTCACCGTCCATAACAATAGAAGTTATTCGCAAAAGCATTTAGTAAGGTGCAGCGGTCATATTGTCTAATCGAAAAATGAAAATAAAATTTGCGTAAAATTTTTAATTTAAAAAATAAAGTCGAATAACTGTTAACAAGTTACCTTGGACGTAGTGTAGGGGCCGAATCTTAAGAACGATATTTTGTCGCAGGTAACCCTCCAAGTCTCGGCATCAGTACAAACCGTTTATATACAGGGCCGTCGAGATAAATCCGGAAAGACATAATGTAAATAAAATACAATTAAAATACAGGAAAAGTGTCAATATATTCGTATGTAATGTGGCACAAAATATGAACGAATATAAAAGAATGAAATTATGCAATGTAGCCTCCATCAGCTTCCACGACCTTCTCGAACCTGAATCTAAATCGACTGTAGGCATACTTGACCTCCTCTTTGTCCAGATGTGTCATCACCTCCATGTTGAAGGACTTCAGAGCATCTTTGGTGTTGTGATGTTTTGCATTGACCTTTGCCTCGACCACACCCCATACGTAATAGTTAAAGGAATTGCAGTCGGGATTAGAGGGAGGCTATAAGTCGGGGGTACCAGTGGTAGGGCAAATTGTTGTAAAACCAGGCCTGGATTTTTCTTGCCTTGTGAGCTGGTGTCGAGTGCTACTGGAACACATTCCCTTCCAACGGCTATTTGATCCGTCCAGGACTTTACAACCGTCTCTAGCACGTTGATGTAACCGTCGGCGTTCACCTTCAGACTCTCTTCGAAGAAATGGGGATCACCATAACGTCATCAAATCGCTTTCTGCGTATTGTTCGGTCAGCATACGGAGAAAAAAGATGAATTGGTTGAATTAACCAAGTATCTGATCGGAACTATTCAGAAATGCCGATTGAAGTAACCTGAATTCTGTTTAAGCTAACGAGATTTTTGGTAGACTAACCAAATATGTCTGGTTAAACACCATTATATGGTGTCTTTCCGGATTTATCTCGACGGCCCTGTATATAAACAATTTGTACTAATGTCAAGACTTGGAGGATTACCTGTGACAATATCGTTCTTGCCTTGAGGTTCGGTCCCTACACTACGTCCAAGGTAACTTGTTAACAGTTATTCGGCTTTATCTTTTAAATTAAAAATTTTACGCAAATTTTATGTTTTCGGTTATGCAATACGCCCGCTGCACCTTATTAAGTGCTTTTGCGAATAACTTCTATTGTTACGGACGGTAAAGGTATATTTCGACACAGACAGAATTTAACATCGTTTCCTAAATTGTATGTCTTAGGCCCAGTTGCACCAACGTTATTTTGATTTTAAGCGAGACTTAAATATGTGTCTGTCTTTATTTATTTAGAAAGAAAGATAAAGATAGATATATACTATTTACGTTTGGCTTAAAGCCAAAATAATGTTGGATTACGTCTAACGTAATTTGTTAATAGTTATTCGGTTTTATCTTTTAAGTTAAAAATTTTACGCAAATTTTATGTTTTCGGTTAGACAATACATCCGTTGCATCGTAATAAGTGCTTTTGCGAATAACTTTTACTGTTACAGACAGTGAAGATATGTTTCGACACAGACAGGATTCAACATCGTTTCCTAAATTGTATGTCTTACAATTTTTTCCTCCCAGTCTCGGTTGCGAACAATTTTGAGGTCTTGATACTTTATTATTTAAAATTACATATTATACTGAAGATAGTCTACGGATGGACCGAAACGTTTGATGTTTTATACTTTTAATGTTCAATAAATTACTTAGTTTGTCAACATAAGGAACTTTCGCCTATATCCTTTTATAGCACTCTGGTTAAATAACCAGACATATTTGGTTAGTCTAATAAAAACCTTGTTAGCTTAAACAGAATTGGTTAGTCTAATAAAAACCTTGTTAGCTTAAACAGAATTTGGGTTACTTCAATCGGAATTTCTGGATCGTTCATATTCGACCAGATATTTGGTTAATTCAATCAAATTTTTTTTTTTCTGGGCGATAACCTTCTCCTTGTTGTCGGACTCTCTGAACTTCTTGGCCATGGCATAAACTTGCGTCTTCTTGTAGTCAAACCATTTCCGTAATGCGACTATTTCCGTAAGCGATTTGCCGGCGAAGCGTTTCGCATATCATCGCCCTCCGCTCATATTCTC